TTCAAAAATGGAAGCCATTTGTCTTTCGGCTTTTCTCGGGTGAACTTGATATACTCTGACTGTGCGTTTAACAATTCGAAACATCCATTTCCTCTTGTGTTGAGCAGAGGACAAAGCAGTCATCTACATACCTACAGTAGAGTAGCGGCCCGAGATCAGTCACCGGTGCTTCCACCTTAGACATAAATGCAATGGCAAGGCTTTGAGCCAGTCGTTGTCCCATTGCCAACCCTCTTATTTGAGCGTAGTACTTTCCAGACCATCTGAAGATTGAGCAGCTCAAGCATTTTTTTAAGAGTGCCATCAACTGCTCTATCTTAAAGCCATATTTTTTTTTCTTCTTCGTGCTGTATAATGAGTTCGAATATGGCATGCATTGCGTAGTCATTCGACACGTTTGTATAAAGGGCGGTAACGTCGAAGGACTCCATCACGCACGCGCTGTTGGGCTGCGCAGTACGTAGACGATCCAGAAACATCTGGGTATTCTTAAGATGGGCTGGAATGCGTGTCAACAACTGGTTAAATATTAGGGTTAAAAACCATGTTATCCTGCCCGTTGGCCTGTCTACGCAGCTAATGATAGGTCTAACCTTGAATAGTGATGGTTCGTTAGATGCAAGATCATCGCTAGATACTAACTTATGAGTTTTTACAAGTAAGTACAAACCGGGGCATGTTGGTAAGTCAACTTTAAGTTGAGAGATAACTGATGGTTTTAAACCAGCAGCCCTTGCCATTTTGGCCCATTCGTGGTTTAGTTTTCGGTATTTACTTTTGAATTCCTCCTCAGATGATGGGCGATAAAGCGAAGCATCTTCAAGATGCTTTTTCGTTGAGGGCACATTAACTGCTTTTCTGATGTGAGGGGCACATTATACTTCCATGTGATTTCTGTGCGGTTGGTCTCTACGTGACATACTTAGTGGAAACCTCATAGAAAGCGGTGAGTGTGCAAAGCTGTGTTCAAAGTGATTGAAATCTTGGTTTGGAGTTTCTTTGTTTGGTTATGTAGGCGACTGGCCGATGTGCAAAGCTGTGTTCAAAGTGATTGAAATCTTGGTTTGGAGTTTCTTTGTTTGGTTATGGAGGCGTCTGGCCGGGTGGATTGCTATCAACTTGACCTTTCCAGGCTCTGAGGAAGGCGAAATCCGCCGAAACGTCAGCTTAATCGTGAACAAAGAATAATAACACCTCGCGCTTGCTCAACAAAAATACGAAGAAAATTTCTTGATTAATGCCGAGGTTAATAGAAAGTCGGTCGTGGCAGTGACCACCAAGTTTTCAAATGCATTTCTTTGCAATAGATATCTCCTCGAATCCAGTCATTAACCCAGGGATCCAACATTTGTCGTTTAGACGTGTGTGCGGCTCGCGTTCTCATCATCGTCTTGGGATACCCTTACCTAAGGTCGCTACTTTCAGTAATTCGGATTCATGATCTCATTTGCATAAAATACAGTACTACTAGAGTATTTAACAATTGGATGCTGTGGTCTTCAACTCTGACTGCACCTCCATAACAGGGAGAGCCGTTAAACCCCATAAGTAGATTGTGAGCCAAATGTACTTCGCCTTGCTCACTAAATTGTCGATGCTCGTTCACAGTCGTTTCTAGCAAATCCTCTTCACTTCAGTCTTCTCAAATCAACCAAAATCCACTGTACTGCTCTTGCTCGCGACAAGGACAAAGTGGAGAATTTACCGTTTCCCACTCAAGTTATTCAACAGTTAACAGTATCGTAGGTGATCCAACTGACTGCCCTCGTCTCTCTTTTAAGTGATAGGTTGAAGTCGTTGAAAGCAGTCTCAGCCCTGGCTTGATTTCTGAAACCTATCTCGTACAGGAAATTGTCGAGATATTTGAGTAAGTAGTAGATGCTAGTTGAGAGGTCCAGCGAGTTTGGTGGATTAGGCACAATTTCGTTGCCCAGCTTGCTGAATCCTTGCAACGTCGGTACTGCGACATTTGGCCCAGCGTTATCGTGGAGAGGAATCATCCAATTCATGCTAACACACAAACCATCTTTTATAAACTGTCATAAATTTCTTCATCATTTTTGAACTACATAAGGTTATTTTAAATCTTTGAAGACAGACGAAAACGGGGCCGAAGAAAGCAAAATCGCCGAAGCCCATTGAACATCAGCATACGTGTTAACAACCCCGTGTCAGCTCAAAAAACGAGTGTTCGACATTATAGGCTAATTAACGCCGCTGTCAATCGGGAAATGTTTTTTAGACATTCCATTCGTAAAGCCTGAATTTGTAGAGTTTCTTCTATTTTCTTTAGATGCTCTGAAACAATTGAGGTACATAGATCTATGTGTTCTGAATGTTCTGGAAGTTTTTGGAGTATTTGCTTTCACCAAATCCTTCAATTTCTCGTTGCCAATAAGAGGATGTCCACGATCATCGTGGTTGAATTTGCCACAACAAAATTTTTGAACCCAACGTCGCATTGTTCGTTAGTTCGTTAGACGATTAGAGTTGGGCTTGCTTCATGCGTCCTTGGTGCTCAATGAAAACATGCAGCTACACCTCTTCCTGCAATTCTTGACTAATCGGAGGCCAGTGTGCCTTCCATACTAGGAAACAGCATCCATTGTAACGCTATCCAAAGTCAAATTAAGTTTATGAAGCTACTACTTCCAACTCTCATTAGTGATGAAACGACTTCTGCAGTTGATGAGCCCTAACTATCTGCGTTTTATTAACTCTAGGAGGAAATAATCAATAATCAAAAACCCTTCTAGAAATTGTCAGAAAATATGGTTTTAGAGTGAGAAGTGTACTATTATCAACTTACCAAAACAATATCGGAAACTGTCACGCTGCTATTTGTTTACGAAGAGACGAAATATCCCATTAACCCGATCCGCACAAAGATCGACCACCTAACAGGGAACAGTAGGTGACCATCATGTGGTACATTCACATTACCAAACTGTTGTTACATTCCAGTATTCTATGATTCCCTATGTGGAGAGAATTTATTTCAGGACAAACACCGGCGTAAAATAATTTTATAATGAGGGCCTTTCTTTTAAGTCTTAAAAATGACTGTTCCTCAGCCAACTAGTAAAGTAGTTTATGATTTAGGTTGAATGGACAGCGAACTGTGAGAATGAAATCCGCTTAATCGCACTATCGTTCGGATTAGCGCTAATGATTCGAGAAGGTTTTCCATCACTACTTCATTTACTAAAGGAATTTCGCTCACGACGTGCTTAACTTCTCCATAAATCTTTAATAAAATTCATAATTAATTTATTCTTTCCATCAATCTCCATTTATTAGCGCACAATACGTATTTGTCCACGCAAACTGCCTAACTCGCTTGCGATTTCTGCCAGCTTTCGCCAAAAGCTCTGCATAAGTGGATCGCGCTAAAGAGTACTTATAAGGATCGCGCTAAATGCGTGCAGCACTTCTGTGAATAAAGCAGTGAGAAACTGGTTTATAAGATATTATTCAAAAAGTATATCTACAAATATATGATGTGTTCCGTCACCTGATCCTGATGTACTGATACCAACTAAATAGAATACAAGTATTGTATGTATATGATATTCGAACAACACATAAATTTCTAGATTATTTCCTTCGTGTAGTAACGTGCGAAGTGGAAAAAAGCAATATATTCCACACATGATTGCAACTTTAATGTTTTGCGGTTTTGACGAAATTAATGTAGTCTATTTAATGACCATGCGTAAATAATGAGGCACTTGTAAGCGCAGTGGTTTGAATTACTCGACAACACGTCCTTTGTCGTTTGTTCGATCCTGAACCAAACCAGCCTCTCCATCCTTCCCAGATTGGCAAATTGCCATCAAGTATATCTTTGTTAGTAAAATCACTACCCTTATACATTGGTGTCCCTAGAAAGTTATTACATACTCCAAATATGCAATCAGTCAGCTCTATGCCTAATGGAGTCGAATTCATGGCGCATCCCTATGGAATAGATGGACGCTGAACGCTTTTCCCACTTACCTTTTATACGGACGTAGTAACATTGACATAACTATAAATAGAAAATAAAAGTTAATACAAAACGTAAAATTAGTTCATGCTGAGACGAGATTGTCCCGTCCAAATTCATATGCGGCACAGTACCAGTATGTTCATTTTTCTGCAACAAGCGCTTCATTTGTCCTATAAGTTTTCATCCCAACATTTAACTCTTCGACACTTCTGTGTCCATGTCAAGACATGCATATATAATCAGTTCCCACTGACCTGCTTAAAAAACTGCGTGATAGATGAGTGCATTTTTCCCCAGAGACGTCGTAACCGTTCACGTAATTCCTCTGTGAAAGAAAAAGTTTCATCCATTTCACATTAAACATCAGGACACATATGATCACGTAATTCTCGTCGACAATATAAAGGCGCAAAATTAAGAAGCTACCGTTTTTATCCACTGAACCATGAGTGGATAAACCGTGCGTTCAGAATCGTACAAAAGAAAAGCCAATAACCAGAATGAGACTACCCGTCCGAATACAACCTTTATGTCTACGAACTTAAGCATTGCCCTTAAATTTTAGCAAAATAATTGGATAATCGGCATGCCTAGTTTCTGCTTGTTTATTGTGGATCTATGGCTTGTATGATATGATGATAATCTTTCTGTGCTGACCGTACTAACTACACAATGTGTAACAACCCACTCAGCAGCTCCAATTAAATACCATAATTTTAGAAAGTCTAGATTGGGCAAGAGCGTGTTTATTGCAGTAGAGCTCTGCAACAAACACACGGTCATTGGTTCAATCCCATAACATGGGCCAACGAATTCCCATCGCTCTAAGTTCGGAAAAGTGGTGCTAGACCTTCTACGAGGACAGAAATATTAACTCGATTTTCCAGTAGGTCACCCGAAACCATTGTATAGATCGAAATATGCATTCCATAGCCAAATGCATGGCCCATCCCTAAGGAATAAGTGAATGCTAAAAGGTTTGTGCTCCATTCTTTTTATTGATGAGCAGTGAGTAAACAATAGAACAATACAAAATGAGTCAAAAGATAAATGGATAAGATGGTAAGTTAGAGACAATGCGACAAACCACAAAGCTCCAACCAGCTTTACAAATTCATTATGCACATTTATCACATGTGATAATGGGGTCACTCAGTAGTTCAATACCTCATAGTCGCTGAAATTGGAACTTCCAGGATGTTGAACTTATTGAGTGGGTTCATCCCTTATCAGAGTCTTACAAGCTGAGAAGAAGCTCTACATTTACATCCAGGAGACCATCTAGGAGTAAACTATGCCATGTTAAAGCCTTGCGAGCTTAAAGAGACTATCTTCTCAGCATATAAAAATTGAAAAATACATCCCACGAAAATTGGAACGCTCAGTCTTCCTGTGCGACTCTGATCAGCAACACTGAGCAAATGAGATCACTGGATTGATTGGCGTAATATTAGATGCATATCTTTACCAATTCCAGGATCCGCCATCGTTCTGGTATCAAATTAGTTGCATGGTGGCAAATCTCTCTCTGATTCACAAGGGCTACGACTGCCTGTATTGGTGAAGTCCTGGAGCAGCCGCTAGCCAGGCTGGCCTCGGGATTCTAGGAAAACACAATGGCTAAACTAGCAAATGTCTGAAAAAATGAAGATTATGCTGAGGCCCGCACAACCAGTGAGGACGGGCCATTCCATTGCCAAGTATCAAGTGTCTTTTTCAATATAATCAGGAAACTGAACCTATTTAAATCGTCTGTTGAAAACGTCTAGAAAATAGTGATCTGGTTTTACAGTGTTAAAGAGAACCTTTTCTTTTTGAACTCCGAATCAAAAGATACATTCTCTGATCACCTAGTAACGCTATAATTCTAAAAGTTCTCTGGTCGCCTAGTAAGGCTATAATCCTAAAACAACGCTCGATTTCTAGTTATCCAGCAAGTAACGAAAAATAGGGAAGCGTTTAGCGCAATAGTTAGAAGTGCCCAACACTGGAGAAGTGGTCGTTGATTCGATTATGCACCACAGATGTGGTTCATCCACAGTCACTCATCCTTCCGGTGCTGATCTTCAAAGGCGCGTTGACTCGAATCCGGACGGCTCTAAAGAAGGCGAAGTGGCCGAAACGCTGGTAGGATGAAAAATTCATAAGCTTTTGTAATTTAAGCTGAGCAATTCAGAAGCGTATTGATTATCGGTGCTGAGGTAAAGGAAAAGTTGGCTTAGAAGAGTACTGACCTAGTACTTCGATACTAAGCTGCAACTTGTGGCGAAAATATATTCAATCATCTTTTTGATAGTGCGAATGAACTCGAATGCATGAGCCAGTTTTAAGGTATTGATGAAAGCCAAACGCTTTGTCCTTCTCGGTTCAACAAAAATTGTTCTCTACCAAGTGACAGTGTTCTTAATGTAGACCACCTGCATCATCTATGTAAGATAATTTTGACCTGAAAAAAACACCAACTATAAAATACGATCCATGTAGTAGATCTTAACACTCACACTGGTTTTTAAATTGTTGAGATTACTCACACTAGTCTAATAATAGTTTTAACTTTTGAACCCCCACCCTCCCATACCCTGCGGAAAAGGAATTGCCAAAACATGCAAAAAGGCTTGAAACAAATAAATTAGGGCACGTGCGGCGCAGTGATCGGAGGCGCCCTGCAACGCACACGTGGAATAGATCTCAGCGCCCATGGTCCACTAAGCCTTCCATCCCTCCGGGGTCGGTAAATTGGTACCAGACTTGTTTGGAAGGATAGCAACACTGGCTCGATACATCGGTAGGCCACCAAGAGTCAATGTAAAGGCCAAATATGCATTCAATCACCTCCAAATGATGCTTAATGAAGTCGAATGCATGATGCATCAGGGATTGATCAGCGCAGAGAGCTTTTATCTTTTATAGGACAAAAGTTGAAAGAATTCCCATGTGTTTTATATTTGCACTTTCGAAAGGAACGATGTCTACCAGTAAATCCTTTAGTAACCTAAACATAGTGATCGTCTGGCAAGATGTATATCAAAATTAAGTAAATATTGGTGAACGAAATAAACAGCTTTTACTTAGTTCCACTGAGTTAGAAACATATATTTTGCACAGCAACTTAAATATGTCAAATCATACCAATGCTTCTCCTAGTGGAGTTCAATAGAAATCGATGCAAATGGGTGAGGAATAAGAAATCATGGAGAGATCAACGTAAATTCTCTATATCAAAAATAAAATAGTTTTTTCTCCTTTTCCTTAAGTCATGCCAGAAACCAATAAGAGATAAAGGACAGTGTGAGCCATATACGGCTCATAAGAGTTTTGGTAGGTCGTGTTTCTACAATGTACTTTGCACTTGTATACTTTTCTTTATTCTGTTGAACTAGTGTATTCCATTGGTCACACAACTAAGTGCAGATATAACCATAGTGATGCTGAGATATTTGCAAAACTCTAGATCACCGGTATCTGCGGTGGACACCGATAATGCTATTAACCTTTCCGAAGGTTAACGCGTTCGCCACTACATCATGGGAAGTTCTTAAGTGCAGAAAATTGTTGTCGTTTTAGAAGAAGCCTATGAGCGGCGGCACACTTCCTTCATTAAGACTAGGGTAGAGGTAATGTTTTCGAACAACAAGGTGAACACTTAGAACAACATAGCACGAAAACCTCTACATTCTGACGATGACTTCGCTCGACCGGAGTTCAACATATCAGTAGAAGAAAAAATGATGGATACTGAAGCCGGAGCTCACTTAAGATGCGAATCCAGCTAATTTTTATGAATGGAGAATGCAAGACAACGAATCAGCTGAAAAAAGTGTTCGCGTCCGCACTAGCGAGGAAATTTGATGTCTCAGGAAAAATTCTATTTTGGACTTGTAGGGGACATTATTTTCCTGAGTCTATGCTTATTCTCTCAACTGCAGAGTCACTATATTGTTGAAATAACTTACCATTTATCGAAACTTGAAAAATAAAAGCAAAATTGAAGAGCGCGCGCTATCCTAAAACGTCTTAAACTCTTCCTAAGACCTACTGAGTTAAATAATTTTGAAAAAAGCTTTAAAGCTTTAGAAACTTTTTAACATCAAGCGATCAACGTCGGACGTTCTCCGTTTTTTTAATACTTTATGAATGAAGTTTAAAAAAGGATAAAAGATGAAGCTTTCAATGTTGATCTATCCTTGAAGGATGCGCAATGCATTCGACTTCATTAAGTATCGTTTGGAAGTGACTGAATGCATATCTGGCCTTTACAATAACTCGCGGTGACCTAACGATGCATCGAGTCAGTGCTGCTATCGACCCAGACAAGTCTGGTACTAATTTGCCGACCCCGATGGGACAGAAGGTTTAATGGGCCATGGGCGCGGAGATCGATTCCACGTGTGTGTTGCAGGGCGCGTCCGACCACTGCACCACACTCATCCAAATAATTGAAACAGGCGTAACATCCTCTGTAATGCGAGAATAGTGGCAAAGAAACTATGAAATAATCGTCTTATTGTTCAAAATAAATGAACTACTGTAGAAATACCACTCTAGCAGCCACTAATATTTTGTGAAATCTATGCTGTCGCTTCCTTTTCCTTTCATTGTCAACAACTCCTTAAAGAACCAAGTGCACGTGCCCCTATGTCTCCAAGAGAGGCAGATTTGATCTAAACCTATACTACATAGAATTTGTCGAATGGTTGAATTCACAACCATCAATTTTTGCGAATGAGGTAGAAATGTAGTAAGACCATCACTTAATGAGATTGATCAACAGGGAATCTAACAGTACTTCCATTTGCTTAGTTCTCTAGCAACCGTTACCCAGGTGGTCGTTTTTTTTGTCGATTGTTCGACCATGACTTGACGACCTATGAACTCGTCGACATTTTGAAAACTGGTCGAGCATGATATTTTTCGGAAATTCTGCCATATTCGTTCATGGGCATTTCAAATCCTCACCTCAAGCCACTAGTGGCGATTTGCATTCTTCCAGGATCAATAAGATTCTTGGCTATAGTTTACCAACCAATAAATGAGAATGTGGGAGATTAAATCAACAAATAATTAAAAGGTTAAATAGACTTGAAGAAAACAAACAAGGAAGTAGAGAAAGAAGTGATCAGCATTGGGAATGAAATGAGATATTGTCGAATGGGGCTGAAGTTGTTTGGAAAATGGAGGCAGGAGAACGAAGGGTGTTGATCATAATTAGGAGAAACGGAGCGCCAACTCGCCAAAGGACCACCACCATTACGAAGGCCGCCCGGCTGTCCGGTCGAGTCTCAATTGAATTTCAGTCCGCCCAACGAGCATTTCTATTCCCTCGTCTGTCAGAACTAATGCTAACCAAACGGCCTAACTATCTCTTGGCTGATATGCATAATGTCATAACCTCTGACGGCACGACGCTTTTCCCAGCATTTTTTGTTTTCACTACTTCGGCGTATACTTACTGTTCTGCTCTCATTTACATTTTCTGATAATAGCTTTTTTCTGTTAACAGATATATTTAATGTGTCGAAAGGCCACTAACATCGATAGTCAGGAGAATACCTACTGATTTCTGATTTTTTATTTGCATTTTTTGTGCATCTGGTTTTCTGCACCTGACTAAAACAAGGGACGAACGGCTGTGGACCATCTACTCGAATTAACGTATATGAGGAAGACGGAGACGTCGAGACATTGGCAGGATAAACTTTTTTATCAGACCGTGTTAGCTTATCATTGGAAGGATAGATATTAAAATAACGGCTTTTCTACTACGTTTTGAAAGAAAAAGTCCAAATATCTTTTTTAAAGGTGTACTAGGCGTTAATATCTAATGTGACGTAAAGCTTGCACATTTCATTTCATCACATTTACGCGCGCACTTAGAGAAGATATACTTTCTTATACAGAAAAAAAACCATAGAAAAAACTAAATAATATCGGTATCACCCGTAGTTTAGTTAATTACGGAGTTACTCGAGTCGGTACCAATAACTCTCCATTCATCCCAGTCACGCGTCACCGCTTCTCATTGGAATCCAAATCCTTAGCGGACATAAAGAGCATGATATTTCTGGCTTTGTGAACTCTTTATTTTAAGTACTTTTAGCGGAAAGCCAACGAGATATGTCTCGTGAGTTATAATAAGTTGCATAATTCTACTCTTAGCTGTGGTTTTGGATGGAAATATTAACGCAGGATGAACCCCCAAGAGCACACCATTGGTTCGACCACGCCCTAGGCTCACCGCTACTCCCATCCCTCCGGTGTCGCAAAATTGCTAACAGACTTGTCTGAGAGCGCTCCAACCCAGCTATCCTAAGATTCTGGAGACATTCAATTCCAGCAGAATTCAATTGTTCATAAAGAAGGCGACAAGTGCTCAAGTAACAGCCGAATGCTTCACAAAGAAGCTTGAAGACCTTCTTAGACGATGGATACGAAGAAACGAATCGAATGCAAGTGCTGTGAGCCGCACAGTAAATATGAGGACGAGTAGCTTAAAAAGTGAACAATTTTACCTTGCCTCTGTGGTGTGCTTTCAATGCTCTTTTCTAGAGGAAAAAGTTGAACTACATAGAGATATACTTATAAAAATCAAAAAACCGACTTTATATTAACCTCGGCATCGTTCAATAAGTTCATGCGTTCTGAATAAACACATAAAAAGAGTTGTCCATACAAGATTTGTTCCACAATGGCTGACGTTTCGACGAATTTCGCTTTCTTCAGAGCTAGGAAGGAAGCACATTGGCCCGCGTCTAATTCAACCAAGTGCTTTCACAACGCTAACAGGAAACGCAGGGCAAAGCCTAGACTTCAGTCTCATCCTAATAAAACAGGACGACTATATCTCTTATTCGGACTATTCATAGTTATCACTTTTCTGCATTAAATATCAGATTTCACGAAAGAAGTACGAGTTTCTTAAAGTTTCACGGTACCCTTAAACTTCTCCAGCAACTTGAACCGGGAAAAATCATGGAATTTCTTGCTGCGAATCGAAGCAATATTTAACAGATGATATTAACAGATGATATTATGCAGTGGTTTTCGCGAAAAAAGAAGTTAATAGATTTCTGTGGCAGAAGCACATTCCTCATACTCCGTAATAATTTATTTTGAATGGTAATAAAAACATCATGAAAAACTCAAATCCAATCACTGGAAATGGAATGTCATCCACTGCTAAGAATGTACTCTGGAAATTAAGTTGTTCAAAGCTAAAGCTAGTTGTTCCATTTCCGAGAGTTTCAGGATATCTCAGCGGATAAGAAAATACAAGTGCAAGTATACTTTAAAGTACATAAAGGAGAAATTGCAGGCATACTCAGAAGGACATAAAAGACATCGAGAACATCAGTTTTCTAGTTGGAACTCTCTTCTAATATGAAATGCTGAAATATTTGCAAAACTCCGGACAGCAGGTGTATGCAGTGGGGAACGAACACGCGCTGT